ACTAATATGTTTACAAGCATCTAAAAATTGCTTGATATTGATTTTGTCAAAAGTCTTGGACATATCTTAAAAGAGTATCCAGGCTTCTTTATGATTAGTTTTGTAATGTTCAATTGTATTAAGTAGTATTTGTATGAAAATGTGGATAGAGCTGTTTTTAGTTGCTACAAAATTTAAATCACTTAGTAGATGATGTTGGTTTATGATTTGGTCAAGATGTATTGTGAAGATTTTAGTAAGACATTTTTTAATGGGTTCAATAAGTGAGATAGGTCTAACTTGATCTAATGTGAAGTTCCATAAGAATTTCTTTGAGATTAAGAATATGTTGGAAGTTTTCCATATTGTTGGTATTTGTTATAGTAAGAGGCATTTTGTTAGAAAAAGTTGAATAATGTTTTGAACTTTAGAGTTTAAGTATTTTAGATGTTCATAATTAGTTTCAGATGGACTAGCAGTTTTTTAGTTTGGAAGATCATATATGATTTGGTTTCATTTTTCTGAAATAATTTCTAAGAATAGGTTAACAAAGAGAGGTTCATGTTTTAGATAAGGTTTGTAAAGTTCATAGAATTTTGTGTTTTCTTGAATTGGATTATATAGTAGTTTTTTAAAATAATCTTGAAAATGAGATTGTAGGGCTTGTTTTATTTCAGTTGGTTGAGTAGTAAGTGTGTTGTTAGATAAAAGACAGTCTAAATTGATACTATTATTAATTTGTTTTTTATTAAAATTATAAAATTAAATTAAAATTCAAAAATGTTTAAATTAATAATATTACAAAACACTAAAATATTAAAACTATCTTATAAATTAACTTATATTTATATTTATTATTTAACATATTTATATTATCAATTAATTGCTATATAATGCATATAAAACACATATTATTTTTTAGAGATTAATTCAATTTGATAACTTATATTAAGAAATAAAACCATTCTTAATTAAAAATATAAATAAAGATCAATTGTTTAATTAAAAAAAATTTCATGAGGGGTATGGTAACCTAGTGAAGTGGTCAGGCTGTCAACTCTCCAAGTGGTAGGTTGGGTGTTCAAACTTATTGACAGTAAAAATTTGGATAATCACCTATGTAATATTCATATTATGACAACTATTACTAATAATTGGGTTAGGATACCTGTAATGGCAGTTGTACTAGCATGACTGGTAGATCATGGGGCATTTATATAACAGGTCACATAACATTGTCCTTTGGGATAAGGTTGTGATTATACAAAGGAATGCAAACCAGCAATTAGGCAGTACAAACACTAAATAAGTCCTTGTGGTCATGTAAATCCATTGAAATTGGGTAACAAGAAGTCCATTTGGGAAGACCCAAGTAGAGAGGTAGCCAGATCTTCAATGGTTCTACTGTAAAGTCTAGTCTTATGAAACAGATACCAAGATCAAAGTAGTCAAATGGGCAAAAACTTCTAGATGAAGGGTATTACCAACCAGACCACTGGATCAAGTTAGAGAAAAAAGATATTAGACTAACCTGATATACCAATGGACTGGTTATAAGTTCTATTGGGTTATCTGGATTAGGAGTTTAGTGAACTGGCAGAAATATACTAAAGTATTTCAAATATGCTGTGAAGTAGATGCTGAAGTTTGTGTGAATTCTACAAGGGTATAGTGGTTTAATGATCAACCCTAACTGTAACTGTTGGTTTTGATATAACGATATCTAGGTCAGTTGTAAAAATGTATACAAAAGGCTCTGGAAGGTTTACTTCTAGGATAAATTAGTCCTAAAATTGAGATGATGATCTGAGCATCTGAGATAACCCAGTGATGTTAACACAGATTACAGTTTCAGAGGGTTTAAAGTGGAACACCCAAACAGGGGTGTTAGGTATAGCAATTGGTGAGGAACCTTCAGGTGAACTCCTTAAATAGATAATATAGTAAAGTTACACATGTAGCCAATTGTATGCTCTTCTGTAGTGGTTTATTGAACCACAATACTGATAAGTAATTAATAAAAATCAAAAGACCAAAGAGGTCATCTAAAAAAAAAAAAAAAAAAAAAATTTCATGAATATATTATTTAACCAAACAAATTTATTTCTTTATATATTTATTAATTCTAACTAAAATCAATCCAAATAAAATTAATACAATCAATGAATTTAATATATTCTACAAGTTAGCAAATTAATATAATATTAGGCTCACAAATCACAGTATATTTCATAGGCACTTTATGGTAAATGCCTTGAAGAAAAACTATCAAATAGGAGTAAGACGTTTATTGTGAAATTTAATATGAGTGGCGCCAAGGGAAAACCCGAATCCGAAAAGTACAGGTTACTATCATCACGATGAATCACTAATGATTTTAATAACCTGTACTTTCTGGATTCAGGTTTTCCCTTGGCAGCACTCATATGATTCCACTATTACAGTATTTTATTAACCATAAACCGGATAAGAATTTCAACTAGAGGTGCAGACTATAAATGTCGTAGAAACTCTTTTTGAACTTATGTATTCTGCTATCAATTAAGAAATCTTAGTCTTTTTTATTCTCTCTTTCCCAATTGTTGTTTTTGCTTCCTGTTATGCTTGGTAATTTTCCTATGGCTATATTTTGAGAATTCTAGGACTTGATTGCTGTGCAATTAAGATGCTCAGCCTGCAAAAATACTTTCAGCAACATCGAAATAGTTTCTATAGCATGTATAGTGCAGACGGAACTGTTTTAGTGAACCCATAGCAAATTACGGTTACGATTAGGGTAAAAATCGTATGAATTCAAAATCAGTGTTCCGCAAACGGGTACCCAAATTGGAACCGCAGGTGATTTTTAACATTCCATCGTGAGCAATTGGATAATACCCAATTGCTTGACAGCGGAACGTTAAACATCAATTGAGCGACGGTCAGTGAAAACCTGTAAATCGATTCACTATCAAGAAACGACCCCTTATGAATCTGACCGTACAAATAAATTAAATGTGATAAATACACAATTTTAACCTTCTAGTCGTTTCTATTACACATCTTATTTTGCAAAATGTTTTTATCAAACAATTAATAAGTTAAAAATAATAACATATGTAATAAATGTGTTACTGAATAATTACATTCGATCATATTTCATCAGGGTTCATCAGGGTCGTTTCTGGTTAATCCACCTTTTATTATAATCACTAACCCTAAATTCTAACCACACTATAAAAAATAAAAGCTGAACAAAAAAATATTTTCAAAAAAATTTAAAATTTCATAATAAAATAAATTAATTTCACTACATAACTAGGATGTGCCATACTTATTATAAGTCATATGATGCGAAACCGAACGAACATCTAGATATTATTGTGTAATAAATGTAAAAAATAAATTTATTAAAATCAAATACTTCGCTAATCATAATTACAGACCCACTTTGCCAACACTAACCCTAACTATAAAATTAAACTACACTTTTCTAGCTCTAACTCTAGAACTAAATTATACTAACTTTAACCCTAACTAGTGCTCTGAATCGGGTCAGGTCAATCTGAAAACCGACCCGAAATTTCGGGTCAGGTCGGGTTCGGGTTAGAAAAATCTGATCCAAAAATTTCAGGTCGGGTTCAGATCGGTTTCGGGTTGAACGTTAACCTGAACCGAACCTGACCCGACCCGACCTGAAATTATCCAAATTAGAGATGCTTGAAATAAGCATTTAATATGTTTTTTGGGGTTCTAATAGCAAGTACATATGTTTATAATAGCAACTACATAAATATTTTTAAATAATAGTTTAAATAAAACCACCAATCAGATTTCTTTAAACAAAATTGTCACAGCAGATCCTCGATTTTTATTGGTTAACAGCTGCAGATTGCAAAATTTGCCCACATTACATAATTTACTAATTTTTGATTGTAATATTGATTTTTTTTTCATTACAAAAATAGAAATTTTGAAATATAATCTCGCATTGTGGTAAAATTTGTCTAGGAACAATAAAATTCTGAGTAATTCCGACCAAATATTTTGCTCAGCGCTCTTAGCCAATCAAAATCAAGAATCTGCCGTGAAATTTTGTAGGTCAAAATCAATAATTTTTTTTTTACAGCTGTTCTCATAAATTCTGAGACAACAGATAAAAATTTGATCTGCTGAATTCGATAGGTTTTTGGATTCGGTGTTATCGAAATTGGATTTTCAGCATTACAGTAATTCGATAACACCGAATTCAAAAACTTATTGAATTTAGCCGATCAATTTTTATCAATTGTCCCAGAATTTATAAGAACAGCTATAATTCTATGAATTATAGAATAAAAATAAAAATTTTCATTTACTCTAGTATGTAATGCACGACTTTTACTGTAGTTATAAAGCATATTGAGTTTGGATTTGATTAGCCAACTTCGATAGTCATCATTACATGAATTTTAAGAGCAAAAAGGACGACTGAATTCATTTTTTAAATATATTAGCCTTAAAATTTCGGGTCGGTTCGGGTCGGGTTCGGTTCGGTTCGGGTTCGGGTCGGGTTGAAGCTCTAACCCGAAAGTTTTCAACCCGACCCGAACCGACCCGTTCGGAGCACTAACCCTAACTATAGAACTATTATACAACGAAACTTTACTAACCCTACCCCTAATTACGGAACGAACAAGCACTAATAATGTAAATGACACTTTCAAAAATATCACAATAGCCAAAACGATTGTACCATCAGCGCAGAACAACTAAAATAACTGTTCCACAAAGATAAAATATGAGACTTAGCAAGATAACCTGATAAAAGCACGCGAAATCGCAATAACGGCACGTAGCTTGATAACGACTACAGTAACGACATCGTCAAAACTAACACCAAAATTGACGACACATTCCAGCGAGACACATTCTAAAAAAAAAGAACAATAATTAGTACAGAGGTCAGAGCAAGACAAAATAAACAAAAAAAAAAGCTATTCCACGAATGCAAAAAGTAAGACCCAGTAAGACGACACGATAAAAACATGCGTAACACTCTGCTAACGACTCCAGTAACGACGAACGACCCCAGTAATGAAAACGTCAAAAACTACGACACCAAAATCGATGACATATTCCAGAAGCGACACACCAAGAACGACAACAACGTATTCCAGAAGCAATACGCCAAGAACGATAATGCCATATTCCAGTAGCAAAACACAAATATAATGATGCCATGAACTACTACACCAAAAGCGACGACTCAAACAATAGAAAGAAAAAAAATATTTATTAGTACTTTAGTACAGGGTAAGAACAGGATAAAAAAAGCATTGATTATTTCTGTGATTATCGATGATAAAATATTAATCATTTTTTGAAATTAGTCTATTAACGAAAGTTTTTTTATACCGAATTAGTTCATATTTATAACTCTGCATGGCGTAAAAAAAACAGTATTTTATTAATTTAATTTAAACCTATCTACCAACCTAATTTTTTTAGTGAATTAAACTTTATCCATATTTAAATAATACCGTTAAGATAAAAATTTTAATAAAAAACTTTTTTACATTGTATTCTGATGTGGATTAACGGTGAAGGCGAGACCTCATAATGGGGCTGCATTATGAGTGTTGGTTCGAATCCGGCTTGAGGTCTTGACCATCCCAGTCATAGAACATCCTCGGTTGAAGCATCAGAATAATATATAGTTATTGGATGCGAAGCAGCCAATAACGGAAATTATTTGTAAAATAATTTCATTATCTGGCTGTGAAGTTTAATATGTCAGCTTCTGGGCCCCGAAGGGGCCCAGAAATGATACATATTAAATTCGCTGCCAGATAAACAAGTTATTGGCTGCGTAGCATACAATAACGGTGTTATCCGGTGGTTTACGACGATTGTGCTTGCCAAATGACTCGAGTTTTTGGTAGTGATTATGTAAGCTGCCAAATAACGAAGTTATTTGGCAGATGACGTAATCACTGCCAAATAACTCGAGTTATTTGGCAAGCACTATCATAGTAAGCTGCCGGATAATTTATTTTATTTACTTTATTATTGTTGTTTTTTTTAGCTTTCAACTACCTTACTAGCACACCTAGTATTCATAGTATTGAGGTTCGGTCATTATGAAAACGATTAGAATTAATTTTTAACCCGTTCATCTTTGATGCTTATCGTTATGACATCATTTTTTGTTAGTGTAACTGATAATTTTTCACTCATGTCGCTCATTTCCATATTTGTTTAATTCTTTATCACTAGGGATGTTAACGTTTATCTGTCGGTCCGATTTAATATCAGACTAATCGTCACATGAAATTGAATAGCACGTTATTATTGGCCAATTGTGAAACATGTGACAATCAACTAATTAAATTACATCATATTCGTAAACTTCATTAGTTCCTATCGCTTCTCACTTTAACAAAAGAATAAAAAAACAGTTATAGATGTGTTTTTTTTAAATGTCTATTACGTCTTTTATACCGAACTAATATAGTATTTGAGGGTCTATCGTTTATTTTACCCAAAACTCGTTATACGTAATAAGACTCATTAATCTCTATATGGGTAATTATTTTTGAATCCAGACCAAAATGATATTACGTTATATATAAAATTGGACCAAGTTCAAAAATAATTACTCATATATGTACACGTATACGTATAAAGTTTTAACCACTCTTATTACTAACTCTATTCTATGTATTAACATTCTTCATGCTTTAAAACTCTTTAACATAGCTTGGAAATTACTTATCTATTGTTAATTAACTAAGCTGTATTTAACGATTTAGTAATTACATATAGTTCTATAGTCACAACCTATATAGAAATGTTATCTTCTAGGTAAGGTATCTCTAGATGTGGGATTATTTGTAATTATTTGTATAGTGACTGTTGGCACGAACCTAATTAAGTCAATGCCAACACGTGTTCGTGATCTAATTAGAGCTCGGGATGGTTACACTCGATAGTAAAGGCAGAAATCAATTAAAAAAATGGGGGTTTTTTTAATACAAATTTTTTTTTTTTGTATTTTGTAGTGGTGCTCTGTAAAAAACGAGCAAAAATAATGCAGAACATCAATTTAAATAAAGCTCGTGCCTGTGAAAAATTCATTTAAATTGTTTTTTTTTTAATTTTATTAATGAAAACGATACTATTTGCGAATTTTAAAAAAAAATTAAAAAATTGAGAATTCATCCCGAATTGCGCGAAATAATACGATCAACCTATTATTATTTTTTTTTTTGTTCCATTATTTATGATTGTCAATGTAATAGATTCAATAAAAATTGGTACGTATATTCTGCTCTAAAAGTTTATCATGGTTATACGAAAAAACATATCAATATACGTACAATTAATGATATTAATATATTATTTAAGTTAGAAAATTAATATAATATTAAGCTCACAAATCATCACATGGTACAGTATATATCATAGGTACTTTATGGTAAATACCTTGAAGAAAAACTATTAAATAGGAGTAAAATGTTTATTGTGAAATTTAATATGATTCCACTATTTTAGTACTTTATTAACCACAATCAAAATAAGAATTTCAACTAGAGTTGCAGACTATAAATATCGTAGAAAGCTTTTTGATATGAAATGTCTGGGTTATTTCTGAATTAACTCAGAAATTTATATCCCAGAATACTTTCGGCAACGCCAAAATAGTATTTATGACATGTATAGTGCAGACGGGTAAAAATCGTATGAGTTCAAATTTAGTGTTCCGCAAATGGGTATCCGAATTGGAACCGCAGGTGATTTTTAACATTCCGTCGTCAAGCAATTGGATAATACCCAATTGCTTGACAGCGGAACGTTAAACACCTCCTGTGGTTCGGAACACTTTCAAAATTCTATATAAATTTGATATCTATCGTTATGGCAGTAATAAGGATTATTTATAAAATTATCCGAACGTGAATATTTTTTGGCCGATTCGATTAAATTAGTGATATCGGCATGATGTAGAAATTGGATAAAAAATAAAGGTTGAACAAAAACACTTCCAAAAAAATTTAAAATTTCATGATAAATAAGTTAATTTCAGCATAATCCCTGACGTAACTAGGATGGCCATACCGATTATAAATCATATGATACGAGACTGAACGAGCATCTAGATAATATTGTAATAAATATTAAAAATAATTTTATTAAAATCAAATACTTTGCTAACCATAATTACAGACCAATTTTGCCAACATTAACAATAACTATAAAATTAAACTACACTTCACTAGTTCTAACTTTAGAACTAAACTATACTTCGCTGATCCTAACTTTAACTCTAACTATAGAACTATTATAAAACGAAATTTTACTAATCCTAACCTTAATTACAGAACGAACAAGCACTAATAATATAATGATTCTTTCAAAAATATCACAATAGCCAAAACGATAATACCACCAACGCAGAACAACTAAAACAACAGTTTCACAAAGATAAAAGATGAGACCTAGCAAGATGACCCGATAAAAGCACGCGAAATCGCGGCACATAGCTTGATAACGACTCCAATAATGACATCGCCAAAAACTATGACACCAAACGTTCCAGCAAGAAACCAATAAGATAACACAAAGTATGACAATTCTGACGGCAAAATTACTTGCTACTGCCTAAAAAAAAAAAGATCAATTATTAGTACAGAGGTCAGAGCAAGACAAATCAGACCAAAAAAAAAAAGCAGTTCCACGAAGACAAAAAGCAAGACCCAATAAGACGACACAATGAAATCACAATAACAGCACTAATAACAAGAACGTCACTCTGATAACGACTCAGTAACAACGAGTGACCCCAATAATCAAAACGCCAAAAACTACGACACCAAAATCAACGACGTATTCCAGAAGCAATACTCCAAGAACGACAATGCCATATTCCAATAGCAAAACATAAATACAATGACAACATGAACGACTACACAAAAAGCAACGACTCAAACGATAGGAAATTTAAAATTTATTAGTAGTACAGGAAGCATTATTCATGATTTACACCATATTTAAATCCTAGATTGCTCATTTTTATGCACGTGAGTTACACACGTTGTTCGTACCGGATTTAAAAGTTCAAACCGGGTATGCAAAATCCAAACATCAATGCCGAATAATCCAGTTATTCAAACACGAAGTTCTCATAACTACGGTACAATAGCTATCGCGCTTTACTGGTATTAGATCACTATTGTACCTTATCGTTATTTGCCATATGATTTGACTGGTCAAATTTTAAGCACCTTCAGTGCTTAAATCGACGAATCAAATAGCATACAGCAAATAACTCAGTTATTCGGTAGTTCACATAGAAAAAAAGTTTAAATTAGTTATTCGACAGCTTACATAAAAAAAAAAGTTTAATGTAGCTATTCAGTAGCATTTTCGTTACTTGCACTAAAAAATTAAAGTTTCTAATATTACAAAGTAGCATAAATTTTGACAGTAATTTTTTTAGAGTCACTTTAATTTTTTAATATTTTCATTTAATATCTTAAAATCAAAAGGTTTCATATAAAAATTTAAAACTTTGTTATTTGTCGGTGTAACAATAATATTGTAATTACACAGATCACGATATAATTCTCTGTTTTACAAAACTATTACTATGTTGAGTTTAAACCTATCAATATCTTATCAGGTACAAGAATGACTTATAGCTGTAATAGTTATGTACTAATCCGTATCTTAGTGATAGACTTACAAATCCTGCATTCCTTTTCAAAATAATACAAAATTTCAATCGGTCAAGAATGGAAATGCTAATACAGTAATAGAATGGTTTATTTTTATGCTAGAGCTTGTTATAATATAAAACTAGATATGCACAGAATAGACCTGGAAGTTGACATATTTATCGTAGATATAATTGTATATAATTTTTAAAAAATTATTTGTATGCTAAAATTGAGATGACTTTATATTGCTCGTTTATCATTATGTGACATTAGTAACCTGCTCTTAATTAGTTAAATTTATTGATTATCGATTTGTTAGAGCAATATAGATGATAATTTTATCAACACGTTTATGTCGTTACCTTTCACATGTTAATCCTTTTAGTATGTTGGCCCATTCTATGAATGAGCATGACCGATCCAATTTCTATGTTTCTATGCTTAAAAGAATGCTACAGACTATTGGATTTGTTTTAGGATAATGGAAAATAGATCAGTTGTTCTCGAAATATAGCCATTAAATAATGCCAAATACCGCTATTTCATGAATAGCTGAACCATTTTCAATGACTTTTGGTTTAATGAATATTATGAACGTTGGCATTAATTTAAATCAAAATTTATTAAGATCGGTTAAGGATACGAACTGTCAAAGTATTGGTTACTGACCATTGGAAGGAGTCAGTAACTAACGGAAGCATAACAATATTCCTAGTTGTCTCTAAGTGGTAGACGTGCGATAATGGAATGTTCCATATTAAAAGAGCCCATTTTTACAAATAAACAATTTAGAGAAACATACAGACATATTTAAATTTTTTTACTTTAAATTTATTTTGTGTTCTTTTTTTATTATATAATTAACTTTTGTTTTTGCTTATAGCAAACTTGTTTATTGAATATATATCTATT